CCCTTTGTGCCCCGCCGCCTCTGCCGATGGGTGCCTCCGTCTCCACCCGTCCATCATCTCCGGCTCACGAGTCCAAAAATGAGGGGGGACACTCGACGCACTCCCACCCCACAACCTCCTTCCATTCCTTCCAGTTGACTGGCTGCTCTATGGAGGGTGACACTGGCCCAAGTCGATCTGGGGTCCCCCTCAGTGAGTCATCTTGGACCTTCCCTGCTGGACTTCTGATTTCATCAGTGACACATTTGTTTGTTTGTTTTCCAGTGGGTTGCATTAATAGGTGTGGTGATGTATTTTTGTTCCACCCCCCCCCCAAAAAAAAATATATGTACTGAAGTTACTGATTTATTTACAAGAGTTACAATCGAAAGTCTTCGTTTGTGCATGCGCGATACTGCCCCCCAGTGGCATGGACTTCCAGATGTGAAATTTCTTTGTCATCTTGTGTTCCTTCAAATAAAAATGAAATAACCAACGATACTTGTTGATGTTCGTTTTGTTCTGGTGAGCTTCACACACACACACACACACACACAGACACACACACACACACACACGAACACGCGAACAGGAGTGTTGAAGGGGAACTCCAGTCCGATCAAAGTTTCAAGGAAAAGGGAGAAGCACGAGGTACTGGTGAAACACTGCCCTCCTGTGGCTGCCTGGAGTAATTTCACTCTGAGAAATGGGGTTGAATCGTGATCGAAAAGAGTGCCATAAATATAAGGCAACGACTTGGAACCGAACCAGGACCATCATTTCCAAACTCGTCGTCGTAGACCACTAGACCAGATTGGAGTTAAGAAGTTATATAGATCGTGACGTTTGTATTGGTGTGATACTTAGCTAGTTCTTGAAGAAGGACTCTGAAGTCGCCGAAAAACTCAACCTGAATAGTCAAGTGGTCTAAAAGTTTGCCTACGGTTCGGCCGACTCGGGTTCGATCCTCACTGCCGGCGGCAGATGGATGCATAAGTACAAATGAGGAGAAAACGGGACTCGAACACGAGTATAAATGAACCAAAGGTAGTGTCTTTAACCACTCGACCATCTTTGGTTTGAAAATTTCCTGTTCTGTGGTCGTATTTATTAGAATTAACAATCACATTGCCATCTCATGGTCATTTCAAAATAAGACAAATAGCACATTAAACACCGGAAATAGCAAGCGAGCTTAGCCTAATGGTTAAGCACGAGCGCTGTGGTCCAGCGAGCGCGTGTTCGAGCCTCACCGCAGGCAACTCTTTGTTGCCTCGTTTTTTCCTGTCAAAATTGTTTCTTACAATTCTTTTTTTTTCTTACTTTGTTCAATAAAGCTTTTGAAAAAAACAGAACGTGATGACGTCGTTAGCGAAAACCTATTTAAGCTGCGACTAATTGAACAAACGGGTCTTTCACCTCCAAGGGGACGCCTTCACATCGACACGATGGCCAAAAGGTTGGACATCCTCGACGTTTTAACTGTCTTTTCTGACCTAACTTTTACCAATTTTTAACATTAATTCACCTTTTCAGCCTGTTCAACTCTTCCACGGTAAGTCGCCTGCAATTTTAAATGGCACAATGTTCGATGAAACTAACTCGTTTTGCAATTCTCTTTTTCCTTTCCAGCGTGCTGAGAAGGTAAGTTGTCGGCGTTTGACAAACTGAACGTTTAAAGTTTCATTGCAGTCTCGTCGTTGCTAACTTTTGTAACTTCACATTAATTCACGTTTTCAGGCTCTTCCACGGTAAGTCGCCTGCAATTTTAAATAGCACAATGTTCGATTGAACTAACGTTTTGCAATTTTCTTTTTCCTCAACAGCGTGCTGAGAAGGTAAGTTGCCGGCGTTTGACAAAGTGAACGTGTAAAGTTTCTTTTTAGTCTCGTCGTTGCTCGCTTTTGTAACTTGACATTAATTCACGTTTTCAGGCTGTTGAATTCTTCCACGGTAAGTCTCCTGCAATTTTGAATGTGGCACAATGTTCGTTTTTTTCTTCTTTTTTCCAGCATGCTGAGAAGGTAGGTTGCGAGCGTTTGTATTTCCACAATTTGAATGAGACTCTGCTCTTACTGTGTTGTAATTGTGTCATTTCTGTCCACAGGCTTTCATCTTAAAGTGAATGGCCAAATTGACTCTTAGAGGCTTCTGGAGACTTTTTTTTTTTTTGGGGGGGGGGGGTGTTCTATGTGCTTACCAAATGTCATGTTGCTAACTATTTCTTTCTTTTCAGCCCACCCAGCATGCTGCAGGCCACTGCCAAAGTGTTCAGCTCAGCCCTGCTCTTGTCACTGGTGAGACAAAAACACTCATACGCATACAATTATGCTTAGGTCATGTTTTAATGTTTCAGAAATTGGTGAAGACTTCCAGTGATGACCTATTCAGATGGGAACGCGCAACAAACAAATGTCACAAGTTAGTGCTGTACCTGACCTTACTGTTCACTGCACTCTCCAGACTGCTTGAAAAAAGCAAGTTGACAGTCTGGCCTCAAGTTGCTGTTTTGCTCCTGGACAAGACTTAAGGACGGTGAGGACATCGTAAATGACTTGCATTCACCATTTCTGCCATTCTTTTCTTTTTTGCGCGCAGTTGAACGGCATCTTGACTTCATCCAGAGCTGCCTCAGGAACAAGATGGCGGCGAATGAGGCTGGCCACTGCTGGGTTTGAGCACGCTGCAAAACAAAATGGCTGCTGCAAACATTTTTTTTAACCAATTTCTCTTTTGCAGTTCCCCCAAAGCTGCACTGGGACGTGTCTCTCAGGGCCGTCAAAAAGGTAACTTTACCATTCTGTGCTTGTACTCGTTTTTTCCTTCCTGCTTATGTCCATCAGGTAGCGCCAAAGCATCGCTTTTTTAAAAAAAATTCTGACTGCAGAGAGGCTTCCAGTTCAAGTGCCATGGTGGACTCTGCACCCTGACCACCAAGATGCTGCGCCTGCTGGGCAGAGACAATTTCTACATGGCAGCTGAAATTTTGATGCACGTTAAAACGAAATGCATTTTAAAGCTTGGCTGGTCCATTGCTTTACCTCCTGTTTGTGTTTAGGCTTGTCCACTATGGAGCCCTCTGAAGCGGTTGCAATTTTTTTCGTTCCCTGCATCACAGAATGGGGGAAAACGGTAAGACTTGAAAAGCAAATTTGCCATTGTGGGCCTGAAAGATTTCTTACCTTGTGGCGTTTACCTCCAGAAATCTAAGTTGGCGACGGCCCACCACGACGTCACGATGAGACCTTGTCACAAGGAAGTGCTTGGTTGGTTTTTGATGGCTTGTGACTCTGCATCATTTTTCTCTTTGCAGACCTGGCAACTGTTTGTCATCAAGCGGCTGCTGCATAAGATTCCAACCTACAGTCGATTGCAAATGTTTTTTTTTTTTTTTTTTTTTCTCCCCCACCCTCCCAGATGGTCATTCAGGCAGAGGCGTCGGGAGATGAAACATGCCAGCCTGTGTCGTGTAGCTGAACATCATCAGCTTTCTCTTCCTCAACTGGAGGACCACATCCAGAAGGTGGCAGACTTTGGAGAAGAGGAATTAAGACAGGTTGGCGCTGGTGGCAGCGGGTTTTATCTCCAACAGAAACCATGCCGAGTGAATGTTGTGACTCGCGTCTTGCTGTTTTTCAGAAGTGACGTCACGCTACCTCAGGAAAACTGTCCGCCTGGATATCTTCTCCCCCCGGTCTGCGATGTGACATGCAACCTACAAGTGAAACAAATGGTCATGGCAACAAAACATGGTCACAAAAAATACATTTTTGAGTGTGAGGCTCTTTGCTTACTCTGTATCTTGCTTTTGCTTCGTCAGCTGTCGGATGCCATCCAGGAGAGGCTGAAGCAAACTTTGGAGCAGCCTGCCAACAACAAGGTCCGATTCCTGCAGAAAACCTCCCAGGTCCTCTTCCTCACTGATGGGTGTCATCTTGTCTCACATTTGCTGCACCAGAAATGCACTGTAACTCTGTGTCCTTTTTTCTTAGGTCCACTTCACCAGGCAGCGACTGTCGTCCAACACTTGGCTTGAACAAGTTTCTCAGTCTGCAGTAAGCGTTGAATGCTCGAAACTCCAGCCTTCTCAATGCCGTCTTTGATCCAATATTGTTTGTTTCCAGGTGCTGAGCCAAACTGTGATTGTCCTGCTCATGCAGCTGTGCGAGCACTTGGTCCGAGTCCCAGAACACCGACGTCTCATCACCCTCTGCTGGTTGGTTTTATCACATCACATTTGCCGCACAAGAAGGTGACTTTGAACTCACCAGTGGCGTTTTTGTCTTAGGTACACATGCTGCTCCACTTCTGCTGCCACGGGCTGGAGACATCGCCAGGCAGGCAACAAAAAGCAGAAAGCCAACAAGTCATCTAACTTGTAAGTTGTTTTTTTTCCCTAACTTGTTTTTTTTCTTAACACTTTTTTTTTCTTAACACTTTTTTTCAACATTTTTTTTTCTCAACACTTTTTTTTTCTCAACACTTTTTTTTTCCCAACACTTTTTTTTTCCAACACTTTTTTTTTCTTAACACTTTTTTCTTCTTAACACTTTTTTTTTCTTAACTTTTTTTTCTCAACACTTTTTTTCTCAACACTTTTTTTTTCAACACTTTTTTTCAACACTTTTTTTCAACACTTTTTTTCAACACTTTTTTTTCAACACTTTTTTTTCAACACTTTTTTTTTCAACACTTTTTTTTTCAACACTTTTTTTTTTCAACACTTTTTTTTTTCAACACTTTTTTTTTTCAACACTTTTTTTTTTCAACACTTTTTTTTTTCAACACTTTTTTTTTTCAACACTTTTTTTTTTCAACACTTTTTTTTTTCAACACTTTTTTTTTTCAACACTTTTTTTTTTCAACACTTTTTTTTTTCAACACTTTTTTTTTTCAACACTTTTTTTTTTCAACACTTTTTTTTTTCAACACTTTTTTTTTTCAACACTTGTATTCTTTGAAAAAAAAAATAAAAACATTAAAAAAACTTGTCTGAACTTTTCTTCACAAATGAAAACATTCCTCCGAAAACAAGTGGGTGGGGTGAGGAGGAAGTGGGTGTGGCTATGCAAATCAATGACCAGCAAGCGATCTGATTGGTGGGCTCTCCAATATAGGGGTGTGGCTATGCAAATTCTGAGGCAGGCATCAATTTGATTGGTTGGTTCGAAGAGTGGGTGGGGCCATGCTAAATTAACATATTGGGTGTGGTTATGTAAAACGACAGGTATGCAGCTCTCTGATTGGTCGATTTGTTTTAGAATGGGCGGGGCTACGCAAATTTTTCAGCATACTGCATTCTGATTGGCTGAGTGTAAATGGGAGGAGTCATGCTGATCAGCGTGCAATCTGGCTAATTAACATAGTGGGCAGGGTTATGCAAAATGCACAGAACAGAGCTCACCGATTGGTTGATTTTGGTGGAGGTGGGCTGGTTATGCAAATTATTTGCATGCCGGATTCTGATTGGCTGGGCCCAAAAGTGGGTGAGGCCGTACCCCTCATTAGCATATATTCCGACCGATTAACATAATGGGCGTGGTTATGCAAAGCGGGCCGTGTGTGCAACTCCCTGATTGGTCGGTTTCGGTCGGAGTGGGCGTGGTTATGCAAATTAATTTGCATACTCCGTTGTGATTGGCTGGATTTTGAAATGGGCGGAGTCACGTAAAACATTTGCATAGATCCCGGTAAATTACCATAGTGGGTGTGGTTATGTAAATCATTTGGATTTTTGGGTGGGCGGGGCTACGCAATTTAATTTTGCATGCCACGTTCTCATTGGTCTTTCCCTTGATGGGCGGGGCTTCTTTTCCCATTTTTCAGGGCCCCACATGAATGGCGACTGGTTTTCGAGCCCAGACTTCTTCCAGAACACCCCCAACAAGTCCGGTTTGACATCCATAAAAGGGCCATTTCAAACTCGGTGAGCAACGAAACACGGAGACTCCAATGGAACAATATATTGATTAAAAAACATTTATTTTTTTCTACAATGTCTCATCATTTTACCAACAAAGCTTGACTAAAGTTCCACACCGACACAAACTGACGGGCAGTACATTGAAACCAGCAGCAGAGGACCCCGTG